TTAAGTGAAAGAGGGTTGGAGGTCAGGGTTTAGAAGGATAATTAAACTTGATGGAATATTTTTAATTGCTTGGGCAGTTTTATGTGTAGAGAACAAAGATATTTGGAAATGGTTTATTGAGAATCTTAAAGAAGATTTGAACTTTGCAAGTGATGGAATTAGTCTAGTTCTAATGTTTTATCAACACAAGGTATGGTTTATTTTCTTATTGTATCACAATACATGGCATATCATTCTAACTTCATCAAATACGTGTGTATATATATATATATATATATATATATATATATATATATACATACAGGGATTGGTTGAGGCAGTGAAGGTCTTACCAGCAGCAGGACATACGCAATGTGCAAGGCATATCTATGCTAACTTTAGAAAGAAATTTCTTGGAGTACAACTTTAAAATATTTGTTGGAGGGCCAATAAAGCAACTAATAAAGAACATTTCAATGCAGTTATGAAAGAGATTCAAGTAATAAACCATGTTGCCTTTGTTCATTTTATTGACAGAGATCCAAAGACATGGTCTTTGGCTTTCTTCATAGTTCACCATGCTTCTTGTGAATATGTAGAGAATGGATACTCAGAAAGCTTCAATAGTGTTATAAAGGATGCAAGGATGAAACCCATTATTGGTATGTTAGAGGATATCAATATTTGTGTGATACAAAGGATGGTCAAGATGCAAGTTAAAGGACAAGTATGAAATCATTACCATGTATCTCCAAACATCAGAGACTATTAAAAACTAAGCAAATGTATGTAAATATACAACTTAGTGAATAATTGACAAGTTTGATCACTAATGAATTACATTGATTGACTTTAGTTCTTGGCAAGTTATTTCATGTAGAGTGATGAAGTTTGAAACAAGAAACATGGATCAATTTTATGTTATTGATGTGTAGAAGAAGGAATACATATGCAGGATGTGGTAATTAAAAAGGTACGGGTGTGTGCTAGTCTCAACATTATAATTCTTAAACTCTAAGAATGATACACCATATGTGATGGATTTTATAGGTTATAACTACAATGCGAAAAATCACTTTACAATTAAGAAGGGCACATGCAACCTATAAGGATATATGTCATAACACTTTGAAGGCAACATACTATGAATAACAAAACAAACATGAACCCTCACAAATTTGAAAACAAGGAATTAGGGTTACATACCTTAAATTTGTTGTAGTAAACAAACCACTCCAATCCTTCCTTTGTAGAAATTGGAAAGCTAGCACCAAAACTATGACGCCTCTAATGGTTTGGACCCAAACCTTACAACTAAAAGACAATTGAGGGGAGAGGAGGGAGTAGTAAGAATTCATCTGTTCTTCTGAGGATACAAGTGGCCGAAAATAAGAGACCCTAGGGCCCTATTTATACCATATCAAGAAACTCTAATTTGAACATATAATTTTATTATTTAAAATCCGGGTGGTTATCTATTTTCCTTATCAGTACGAGGCTTCCAGAAACCCTAATAATTGGTCTCCAAAACCGTCCCATATAAGAAGGTTCTGGAACCTCTCCTTTATTTAACTATTAAACAATTAACGCTTAGCCCTTGCACTCTCAATTAATTTTAATTAATCCCAAAATTAATTCCAATTATATTCTTGTTAATTATTACTATTTCCAATAAATATATTAATCACATAATATATTAACAAATATTAGAAAATTCATAACTTCTTCATACGAAGTCAGATTTGGACATTTTTTATGCACTCTCTCGATTTAACATATACTACGACTTTCATTTAGATTGCTAAGGCTAAAAAACACTTTATTGTAAACTCACTTTTTACGTCACACAGTGTCGTGCCGGTTCTGTCGCGAAACTTCGACATGTCATAACTTCTTCGTTATAACTCGGATTTCGACGTTCTTTATATCTCCGGAATCCTTGTTACGACCACTACAACTTTCTTCATAGATATCGGGTTTATTTAACATTTTACTTTTGACGCTTATTTTTATCCTTACTTTATTATATCATCATAATTAAATATAAGACACATAAATTCACATAATTCATTCTTATTACTTCAAAACACGTTACAATAGTTGACCTAGACTATTACATCATCTTTAATGTTTAGCCCAGAAACACAGACGTTACACCTATTTGAAAGCATATAAATTAATTCAACAATTTACTATATATAAATAATAGATATGATTACAAAATTACCCTTGTATATGTTTTTAAAATGATTGGTTCATATTAATCCCTACATCCACACAGTAATTGTGCATCCACATATGAACCTACTTCTCTCTCTCTCTCTCTCTCTCTATATATATATATATATATATATATATATATATATATATATATATATATATATATATATAGACACGCTAAAATATAACTTTTGGTTTGTGAGACAATTGCACTTAACTAAGAATGCAGTTGTTAAAACACAATGTACAACTATCTTAATGCGTGAACTTCAAGTTTAATCATTAACTTTATATAATTCATCCCTTGTAACCCATCTATTTTATAAATTAATATTTTTTATTCTTTACTTTTTAAAAACCATTTTTACCCCTTCCACCTTCAACTTTATAAAATGTTAATTTTATTTGTTAATTTTTAAACTTTCGTGTTTATCCCTCGTCTCCGTAATATATATATATATATATATATATATATATATAATATGATTTCCTTCCTCAACTTTCTTAACACGCAACAAAAACACGTAAAAACCCGCAGCAAAATGTAGGCTCAATTACTAGTTAACATATTAAGTTATATTGCCATTTTCTCTATTAATTTATTCCAAATCTATATTCCCTATTTAAAATAAAAAACAATTAAATAAACCCTAGTTAAAAACAAAAACAAAATCATTCTACCAAAAGCATAAGTCAAATAACATATCCAAAGAGTTCTATAATTTTGAAAATGCCAAGTTAGATAAAGAAAATTAAAAACATATTATTTTGTTTCTTTTTTTCGATTAACCATCATACAATATTTTTTTTAAATAAATAATTGACAAAAAATTGAATTCTATAAAACCAATATAGTATGAAATTTGTACGGTTTAACGATTCCAAAAAAATATTTTTTATTATTTAACTATTAAAATTCTGAATTTTTATGTAAAAATCATATTGTTATTCACTGCCAAAAAGAATTCAATGTTATTTTGAAAAATTAAAATCACATCAAACCGGAAAAATAATCTTTAAATTGTTAAAAAACTAAAAAAATGATTTTTTTAGCGATTCGCCAATTGGAAAACACATAAGGGTGGACAGAGTCCCACCCATGTGTAACCTTCGATGTTGGTGGGTTGAAGAGGCGAAGTTGTATTCCTGTTGAAGCAACATCCCGTCGAACCTTATTGTTAGATCTATATGCTTAAGAGTCATTATCGAATAATATTTGCTAATAATATATGATCATATAGGGTCACATCTTAATCAAACTGACACATATTGAATATTTATTATTAATATGATTATTAATAAATATAAAAAAACTAATGTATTTAATTAGATAATCATTATTGTTTTATGAAAATAATAATTAAAGAGAGTTTAAACTGGTTATTATATCATATGGTTTGATTTAATAAGTTATATTCAAGTTTTTGGTCACTTTGGTTACCATTTAACTTTCTTAGTTATATTAACTAATCTGGTTGGAGTAACTAGTCAACTCTCTCTCTCTCTCTCTCTCTCTCTCTCTCTCTCTCTCTCTCGGGGCAAAAATATCAAAGGTATGGGAGGTTGCTTGCCAACTTCCCTCTTACACACCTTACTTGCAAGATACCACTACTTTGCATTAATTGGAAGTATGAGTATTAGATATTGCATGTCGGTATACATAAGGAAGGGTAATTCTTACATTTTAACTAATCTTTCCCTTAGAACACTCTCAAAACCGTGAGCAACCTTGCTCCCTTTTGAAGCTAGTTGCAAGTATTGGTGTTCTAAAGTGTTTCTCATTTAGTATCTAATTGTGTTAAGCACTTAAAAGCTTAAGAAGTATTTCACATAAGAAGTGAACTAGCATTTCACTGTGTCTTATTCTTGATGGTGCTCGGCACTAGCACGTGGTTTGGTGTTCCCGCCGATGCTAAAATGGCACCTCAGCCAACACATTGCCTTTTGCCTTCGACTCCGTTCATCCTAATAAGGCCATGTGGTGTAACCTTTTTTCCTTTTCTTTCTTTGTGCCACATAAACATCATCTCGGTTCCGTCAGTCTTTTATTTTTTTCTTTCAACCTATGTTATACTTTCTTTTACTTTTCACTCTTATTTTTTTATTTTTCAATCTAAAATAATAATAATGAAATTTTAGATAAAGTTTAAGATAATTAAAATATTTCATTAAACTAAACTAAAAAAATACATTAAATTAAACTAGAAAATAAATAAATTACATAATGGATTCAACTCAGGATTTAAACCAATGTATACGGTAAAATGGATCTACGGAAATGGATCAAAAACATATACCATTAGCAATATTTGATGTTATTGCGAAGTTAGAACAAAATGTCAATAATAAAACACATGATTTTAGGATAACATATACTAGAAAAAATGTACTACGTCAGAAAATTACAATATGCCAGAAAATTCAAAGGGCGGTATTAAAAATTCCTTACAAAATTTACACAACGCTGACTTCATGTACAATACAATAGCAATGGAGAGAAAGGTAAGTGAGACAGTGCAACGTGGCTGGAACCACGACAGTGTCAGATTTGCGGGCACAACCCTAACCAACACGATATTCCCACCGTGCATTGTTGCCCGCATTGGACATCGCTGAGATGTATTGTTGGTATATCGTATAGCCTAAAAATTATTTATACAGAGGGAAAAAAAGAACTTTAGTGCACATGCTTTAAAGTTTAGGGACTAAAACTTCTAGAGTGAAAGAAGTACAAGGGGGCAATAAGAAACTAATGACCCTTTATAAATTCAGAGAAGGGTTAATTTTCAGAATCATCTTCCTGTAACTCGTAATCTACACAGAGAAAGAAAAAAAATGGGGGCTCTAGATCATCTCTCTAACATGTTCGATTGCTCAGGCGGAAGTCATCATAACCACAAAAATCGCAAACAATTACAGGTAAATTTTTTCACAAATTCTTACGAGCTTAATTTGCTACTTCGTTTTCGGATTTCGATCCAGTCATTCTTCAAGTTTCTATGAACAGAAATCATGATGTTGCTGTTCCCCTTTTGAGATATTTTAAGGATCTGATAAAAAAAAAATGAACACACCAATGCACACTTCGATGTTACAATATGCTTTATCGTGTTAGTAATCGAATCTCAAGTGTTTGTAGCATTTGGAGTTCAAAAGTAGTAGAACTACTGTTTATTATTGATTTGTAACTAATGCAGTGCGAGTTGTACGAATAGATACTCTGACTGTTTTCAGAGCTTATTAGGGTTCATGAAAATCAGAGGAAAGTGACAGAGAATGGTTCTACTTGCAAATACCTTACACGGGAAACTCAAATTTCTTTATTAATTTATTTGACAACTGAATATTCTATAAATTTATACAATAATGTTTCAGTTTATTATCATTATATCAATTTATATAGTTACATATATTTTTTTATCCATTTGTACAATAAAATTGGTAAACTTTTTATCACAAACTTATTGTTAAAAAATCGATCTTATGAGTGTTTTCCCACTTGCTTTTTTTTTTTTAAGAATATCCACTAAAGCAATTGGGAAATGCATTCTTGTGGGTTTTGAATAAAAATCTAAAGTAGCTTAATTATTAACATATATTAATGATTAACAAGAAGTTAATTTTAAAAAGTCGTTGCATTATTGAAGATATTTTAATGATTTGTTTTGGGTACTACAGTGCCTCCAACAACTCTTAGATATTTTGATATCAAGTAGGCCCTTCAACTCCATGGGTAGTAAAATTGACCTAACATTGGTGACCAATTTTAAATTCCAAAAAGTAATCAAAATATCTCATGTTCATAAAGTAATAATTGATATATGAGTAGAGACACTTTTTAGAAGATATATGTAATTATACTTCTGATAAAAAAAAATTACAAAAGTTGATAACTTGATATGATACAAATAAAAAAATATTTATATAACGTTTTTAGTCTTGTCAATTAGATAAATGGTACAATATCAAACATTTTTGCATAAATAAACATTAAACAATGTATTTTCAGTATTTTTTTGATGTTATTATATATATCATTCCCTTATATAAAAAGTCAACCACACTCATCCACTCACACATAAGATACAACTAGTAAATGGAGGTCGTATAGAATTTGTATTCTTTATATATATATATATATATATATATATATATATATAAAATTAAAAATCTACTTAATTATAGCAGTGAAAATCGTTATCTATCTGGATAACATTGTTGTAACAATAATCATATAGATTTTGCAAAGTACATAGTTGTAATACAAATAAATTAATGTACAATGTCATGATTTACAGACAGTCGAGATTAAAGTAAAGATTGACTGCGAAGGATGTGAAAGGAAGGTGCGTAGGTCTGTTGAAGGAATGAAGGGTGTAACATCAATAAACATCGAACCAAAACAACATAAGCTCACAGTCACAGGTTATGTTGAGCCACACAAGGTTGTGGCCCGTGTGGCTCATCGAACTGGTAAAAAGGTCGAGTTGTGGCCCTACGTGCCATACGATGTGGTGGCCCACCCTTATGCTCAGGGTGTGTATGACAAGAAGGCACCGGCTGGGTACGTGCGGTATGATCAAGACCCGGGGAGCCGCCATTTGGAACGGGCGAGTTCGACTGAGGTTCGGTACACTACGGCTTTTAGTGATGAAACACGGGTGCATGTGCCATCATGTGATGCGGTAATATATACATCTGTTTGGATTAAGTGCTTTATGTATTAAGTTTATTAAGTAAAAAAGAAAGATTTGTTTGAAGCTTAGAGCCTATCAAGTCTATGATTTTGATTGTTATTATTCATATCTATTATTATTTCTAGTTCAAACTATGAATTGTGTTTTAGGAAAATTTGGTTGGTTGTGATTCAAAGCTTATGAAGATGTATAAACTTTTTAATTTTTAATTTACTAGTTGATATGTTTGATAAAAATAGTTGGGGCATTTATTTTTACATAAATATTTGACAAAAATACATATAAGCTTTTAAAATCAGTAAAATTATATAAAATTAACGGATAAAAACACTAAAAGCTCATTGAATTAGCTTTCAAAAAATATATTTTTTTATTTGATTCAAGTTTTTTTTTTCTAAAGAACATAAAAGCTAAAATACTCTAAAGATCCTTGGCAAACACTTTTTAAATTGTAATATATAACTTTTGATTACACACTAATTTGTAAGCTTATGACAGAATAGTCATTTGTATTTTGTAACGTGTGAGCACGCCTCAATAAATTCTCAAATTTTAAATCATTAATTTATAATTTTTTTTTAATACACAAACTTCTAGTCATACTTTATATGTTTGTTTAATCCTCGAAAATATTAAACCCGGGGATTAATAAAATACGTGTCACACAAATTCATTATTATTCTTATTTTATTGAGTAAATTACACGAATGGTCCCTGTGGTTTGGGATAAATTACACGTTTGGTCCCTAACTTATTTTTTTAACTCGGACCGTCCCTATAATTTGATTTTATTGCGTTGTTGGTCCCTAAATGTTGTAAAAAGACTATTATACCGTTATGTATTTATTTTTTAATTTTATGTTATTTATTAATCATTTTATTTTTTCTAAGGAAAAGAAAAACACAACAATTTCACCCATACCCCATCCACCATATGCCACCGCCCTCCACTCGTCACCAGAAGTCGCCACCACCGGAAGTCGCTACACACCTCCGACACCCTTATTGTGTGTGTTTGTTTGGTGGCCATGATTCCCGATGAGATTTACTTCACCAACAACACATTAAGGTTACTAGGTCAGTCATAGTAGCCTTCGAATCCAAAATATCAAAATCAAAAAATCGAACTCATCATACTCATAGCAATCTAGATCAAAATCCAAAAATCAAAACTCTTCACACATAGAAATCTAGATCAAATACAAAAATCGATCTCCAGATCTTTGCTTAAATCACAGAACTTAAAATACAAAAACTGAACACATATTTCTGCTTAAATCGCCAAAAATCAAACTCCAGAACTAATCCGATAACAAGAAAAACAAATGGCGAACTTACAGAAGATATGAAAATACCATACCAGATCCGACAACAAGATAACAAATTGACTAAAAAAGGAATAAGAAAAACAAAATCTGAAATCACAGTCCTCAAGAGGGAGGGTGGGATGAAACAAAACCAAAATTTGTTCATGGGAGAGTTGATGACTCTTTGGGGCAGACAATCACAAACCAGGGGGGAGAGTGGGTTGAAACTAAATCAAATTTTGTTCAGGACTGGCATTTTTAACCTCCGACAGAATCCTCGAAACAAAACTCTAGAATCAAACATTTCTCTAAATATGTTACACTCTTATGCATTGGTGCCTTAGACCCACCTCTGTCTGCTGAACCCGAAAGCTGCTCTCCTAACAGCCCGAAACCACTCGTGTTGAGCAATAATACCATTAACCCAAAATTAGGGTTGAATATAATCTAATTAAAGAACCCAAGTACCCAAGCCCAAGTCCTTTCATAATGGCTCAAGAGTCTTCCTTTGCTAATGGGCCCAAAGTTCATGTCCAAAACTATTTGATGGGCCACATGGCCCAATAAGGCCCAACCAAAACCACCAGGGCCCAAAACAGATTCATGGGACCACTAACCCAACATATGACTAGGCACAACACTGGCTAAGGCCCAAAGAATCTACAAGCCCATATGAAGCCCAAAACCCACTGGGGTGCGTACGCCTAGCGTACCACTTCAGTACGCTTAGCGTAGTGAGTCCCCAGACTGTACGTGTTGCGTACACTATATCACGCCCATCGTAAAAGCATATTAAGCATCTACTTCCATTAAGTGCTTAATACTTGATGTTCTAACGTCCAAAATCGGATCTGAGTTCATTAAGACATCCTAGGGCATAAAGTTGGCAACTTTATGCCCTTGCATGCCATATGGGACTTCAAAACTTCATTCTTCACATTAGGACTTCATATAAAGCTTCAAACTCATGCATGGAGTCTAGATAACCTTCAAGCTAGCACCTTTATGCATCTAGCATGCTCACAGAGCTCAGATCTAACCATTTCAGTCTCTGGAGTTGCTCAACTCTCAAGAGAAGATCCAAGAACCAACAAAAGGGACAATATGGAAAACCCTAACTAGATCTAATGAATAAGATGGCAAGATCAAGACTTTATACCTCTAGAAGCTCTTCAAGGTGAACGAGATGCAGATTCTTGAAGCCCAATGCCACTCCAAGCTTGCTTAGGAATTTCTTCTTCTTGAATAAGCTCTAAAATGGCCACAAATACACTCTTTAAGCTCAAGAACACTCTCACAAGGAAACTCTGAGGTAAAAGGGTGAAATGAGGCTATGGAGGCTGATTAGGGTTTGGTCCAAGAGGCTTAATGATGTTTAAATAGGTTTCAAGTCCGAAAATTAGGGTTTTGCTCCTCTGTTACATACGCCCCGCGTACACGGCCACCATCCGCGATCATTCATCCTTAGTACGCTAAGCGTACTCCTGGAGTAAGCCCCGCGTACTAAGTGACCATTATGCTATATAATTTCAATTCAAGGGTTCAAATGGTAATACCTGATTTGGAGTGTTACAGATGAGCTTAAAACCTCCATTAAGTCACATTTGACAAAATACTTACCAAACTTAATCAATTAAGCCATAAGTTAGACACCAAAATCATAAAAATCCTCATTTCACCCTTATGGTCCAACGACATCATTTCATGACTTTATTCACTTGAAAAAACTGTTGGGTTTTACTCAAAATCATTTTTTCCAAAATCGCTAAAAACAACAACGGAAGTCTAAAAATAGAATAAACTTACAACTCTTTTTAACCCACGAAGGATCATTTTGCAAAGCATGAGAATATTAAATCAACCATAGAAGGAAAAGTGTTACAACCTTTGAAGACTGTGATTATCATGGGAGATGGAAGTTGATGAAGTGTCGCATTAAGCTATAAAGAATAAGCTCTCTATAAGTATCTACCAAGCAAGGATTGTTAATCATCGTATTTTCCCCATAACTCAAATATGCATTATACAAACGATATATATATATATATATATATATATATATATATATATATATATATACAAGGGAGCCTTCTTGGGCCAAATACAAACAATATACGTATAAAGAAATTGGGTTCAACAATATGAAATAGATAATACATAAGATACGTAGGTACATATTAATCCTCTACCCCCCCCCCCCATGCAGTTTGATTGGGAGGACCATTCTGAATGTTTAAACTGGTCTTGAAATCGTTGAAGAGCTGTATCGGAAGACCTTTTGTGAAAATGTATGTGTACTGAGCGGAAGACGGAACATGAAGGGCACAAACAACAATATCACACACGAAGTGAATGCAAATCTCTATGTGTTTGGTGCGTTGTTGTTGGACAGGGTTCGGCGTCATATAGACTGAGTTGATATTGTCACAATATATGATGGTAGGTTTAGCGGGCGGACATCGGAGCTCTTGAAGTAAGTTACAAACTCAACATGTCTCTGCTACGGCGTTAGCAATGCTATGATACTCTGATTCGACATTGGACCGTGAGATGACTCCCTGTCTCTTAGAAGACCAGGATATGAGATTTTCACCCAAAAATACACTGTAACCCGATGTCGATCGACAATAAATGGGACATCCTCTCCAGTCTGCACCAGAGTAAGCATGAAGATATGACACGGGAGAGACGTAAATTTGTAGACCATGGTCAAGAGTCCCTCAAATGTAGCGTAAAATGCATTTTAGGGCATGTAGGTGAGGTTCTCGGGGATCATGTATAAAGAGACAAATTTGTTGAACTGCAAAGGCGATGTACGAGCGTGTGAATGTGAGATACTAAAGAGCCCTGGCAAGACTGTGGTATGAGGATGGGTCATCGACAGGGGGACCAGTAGCATCCAACTTATACGTAGTCTCCACAGGCGTATGAGCTGTGTTGCATTGGAGCATATGAGCCCGATCAAGAATCTTAGATGCATATTTTCTCTTAGAGAGAAAAAGACCCTTAGAAGAGCGGGTGGCAGAGATCACAAGAAAATTGTTGAAAGGGCCAAGGTCATTCATGGAAAACTCTTTACTAAGTTGAGAGGTGATGGACTCAAGCAAATCAGCAGTAGACGCAGTCAATACAATATCATCAACATATAATAAAAGGTGGCCAATATCGACTCCATGATGATAAATGAATATAAAAGAATCCGTGAGACTGTGATGAAAACCCAAGTGGAGAACATGTTGCGTGAACCACTGAAACCAAGCCTGAGGAGCCTGTTTGAGGCCGTATAAGGATCGCTGGAGGTGAAAAACATGATTCGGGTGTTGGGATCCCGGAAACCCGGAGGCTGGTGCATATACACAGTATTGAGAAGATGACCATGAATAAAAGTATTCTTCACATCAAGTTGGTGAATAGGCCAATTTCTAGAGACAACCAAGCTGAGAACTATGTGTATTGTGGCTGGTTTGACAACCGGACTGAAAGTATCATCACAATCTATCTCGTGGTGTTGACTTCGCCTGTTAACAACTAATCGAGCTTTGTATCAAGAAAGAGATCCATCAGCATTAAATTTATGTTTAACCAACCACATAAATGGACCATATTAGCTTCTGGTGGTCATGGAACAAGCACCCAAGTACCATTCGTAATAAGAGCATTATATTCCTTGTTCATGACTTTATACTAATTTGGATCTTTCAAAGCCTGGATGTGTGACCTCGA